AGTGTTCTTTACGTACTCAAATTAGAACTTATAGGAAACCGACAAGTTCTTCGTGGGATCGACCCCGTACTTACATAATCTATACTTCATTAGATTCGTGCACTTGCGGGTATTTTTAATTGGTTGTTTGCACATTAATTTGTGTCCTTTTAGGAATGCAACAGGAAGCAATGCTTGCAGTGAGGGCATGAGGTAATGGGTGGTTAGTGGATCCATAGACAAGTTTATTAACACTTTTGTATCTATTAGGTGGTGGTGATGGGCTGTCTGTAGTGTTTGGTGTGGGAGAGGCATCAAGAGATTGCATAGGTATCGGGTGAAGTGGTGAGTGAGTGGACTGGTCTGAAACAGTGGGCCGAACGGGAGCAGGTCCATTAGATGTAGAAGTATGTCTGGACTCATCCACATAACTAGGTGTATTGGATGGATTTGGCTCAACACCTTGGTGGTTGGCAGCAGCCTTGGGCTCATCAGCAGGTGGCATTAAATTGGGCTCAGTCTGTGCTGACGATAGGCTTGGTGCATGTAGTGCTGGAAATTGATTAAATGTGGTAGATCCAATGGAGTTGGGCCATGGATTGTGCTGGTCATGGTACGGAAAATTGGTCTCATTGAAGGTCACATGGCGAGAAATATAGACCCGACCAGAAATCACATATAAACAACGATAACCTTTGTAGTGATCATCATATCCAATAAATACACATTTAATTGATTTAAATGATAATTTGTTGGTGTTGTAAGGAACCATATGAGGGAAACAGACACACCCAAAACTTTTAAGAAAGCAATAATCAGGCGGACGTTGAAGAAGCTTCTCATAGGGTGACATGTGTCCAAGTGTTGAGGAGGGCAATCTATTGATGAGAAAAACTGCCGTAGAGAAAGCTTCTAACCAAAAACTTTTTGGAAGATAGGACTGAGCCAACAAGCATAACCCCATTTCAACAATATGCCTATGCTTTCTTTCTACAACACCATTTTGTTGGGGTGTGTAGGGGCATGAAATTTGATGAGTTATCCCATGATCACTTAAAAAATTCATGAATACCCGACTTGTGAATTCTCCACCGCCGTCTATTTGTAATCCCTTTATCTTGCAGTTGAACCGATTTTCAATAATTCGTTTAAATGTGACAAACTTGGCAAAGCAATAAGATTTCCTCACAAGTGGATAGAACCATACGAATCGAGTGTGATCATCGACAATGAATAAGTAATATCGATAACCAAAATTTGAGGCAATTGGTGCTGGCCCTCACAAGTCAAGATGTAACAAATCAAACGGATGCAAGGCATGTGAGCTTCTGTATTGAAAAGGAAGCTTACAGGACTTTCCCATAGGGCAAACATGACAAACTTTATTATTAGCAACATTACCATTAGGAGGTAAATGATATTTATTCAAAAGAGTTTGAAAAATTGGGTGAGAGGGATGTCCAAGGCGAGCATGCCACACGTCTTGTGTCGTCCTTTACCCGTAGAACACGATTTTGTTGGTAACATTTGGCGCTGCATTGAGATGATATAATCCACCAGAACTATTGCCAGTAAGAAGTACCTTCCCCGTCTTGTTGTCCTTGACACGAAAACCATTAGCATTCATTTCAAAGAAGCAATCATTATCCCGATAAAATCGACGAATGCTAATAAGATTTTTCCTTATAGCAGGAACACATAATACTTCATTGAGTGCTAAACATGTATGTGTAGTGGGTAGACCAGTTTTTCCAACATGTGTGATAGCCAAATGATTTCCATTACCAACAATAATCGTGTCTGTACTTGTATATGGCTGAGCATACGGAAGGGCAGAGAGATTTGCTGTCATGTGGTGTGTAGCCCCTGAATCTAGACACCAACTTGTATTATCATTGGGAGTGGCTTTTGTGGCTTCTGCTGTAGATGCATAATTCCCACGTTCAGGACAATCTCGCGAGACATGTCGCTGTTTATTACAAAACTGACAAATAACATTAAAGCCAGGTATGGGTGTCGGCAAGAGAGGTGGTTTGCCATCAGATAATGGACCACGTGTGATGAATTGAGGTTGCTCATTATGATGACTGAAACTAGGTCGGCTGTGAGTGTAGTTGGCCCGACTATTTTGTCCAAAATTTTGTCTGCTTTCATAATTTGGGTTCCAACCCATGGATCGTTGGGAAGTGTCACGAAATGGTTGTGCTCCCTCTCGGCTGCCATGGTCAAGCCTGGACTGCCAGCCTTGGTTTTGATTGTCACAACTGTGATTCCAGCCGTTGCTATCTCGGTTCCAATTCCGGCCTCGCCCACGCCCCCTTCCTGAACTCTTGTGCCCTTGTGATCTAGGACCTTGATTGTGATTGTCATCGGTTGAAACGTGATCGGTGGACATAGCGACACCGGTTGAGGAGAATTTATCAAAAATAGCCAAAACTTGATCCTTAATTTCAAAAATGTCATTTTTTGTAAAATATTTCAAATATAGCAAAAACCTCACATAAATAGACACAAATGCCCTCAAATTTAAAACCCGTATAAACCTAAAAAATAAACCTTATTAAATAAAATTTTGGAATATTTTTAACCCACGTTTGTATAGAAGAACAGAAGTTGAAATATATCATCCTATTTATTGATATTAGTCAATTAAAACTTAGTCCCAATCCAAGCATCACCAAACACCGGATAAGTGTTATTCAACTTAAGCCAATTCAAGCCAAGACAATTTCTGAGCATAGTTCATGCCAAGACAATCTTCCGAAACAAACGAGGCTTAAGGGACCAACCTGGCAAATGACTGAAAGACTCGTTGCCGGATCAATTGCGCAAGTCTGTCCGAATGACACCATTATTTTGTCTTCTCTGATGGACCAATCCGCCAAGTGTTCCCCACACGTATAAATGCTGCACTGGCTTCTCAAAGAAGCTAATAAGTTTCAAAATTGGCAGCCCATCCCACACATCACGTTGCCTTTCTTTCTCCATGACTCTAACATCATCAACTTTCTCACCATTTCTCTTCATTTGATTCACAATCGAAACCAATCGTGAATAATAGTCGGAGACATTTTCTCCTTCATTCATATGAGCGGATTCGAAGTCGGCCCTTAATGATTGAAGGCGTATTCTCATAACACGATCAACACCTTTGAAAATGGTTTTGAGAATATCCCACGCTTGCTTGCTCGTCGTCGCTTCGGCGATCTTCTCGAACGTTGAATCTTCCACTCCTTGATAGATTAAAAACAGCGCCTTCTTGTCTTTTTTTCTTTGTTCTCGTAGAGTAGTTTTTTGATCAGCGGTGTAGGCGGCCTCCTCCTCTGCAGTGGGTTCAGTATACCCATTACAGATCACATCCCAAAGGTCTTGGGATCCAAAGAGAGCTTTGAACTGAATACACCATTTTTCATAGTTCTCCTTCTTCAATACAGGGACTTGCATCTGCGCCATACTAGAAGCCATGCAAAACTGAATTGAACAGAGAGCTCTGATACCAGTTTGTTGGTAAACAGACACGTGATACCAAACTTCTTTGACTGGGTGATTAGTTTACAAACTATATCACACTCACGCACACTCAAAGACAATAATAAAAGAAAGCGTGCTGGGAGAATGATTGTTATTCTCTCTATAATTCCTTATCATACTCTTTTTTTAAAAACAACACACTGACAACTCTCTTTATAGAGTTTACAAACAAACATTGTGGTCCAGCAAGACCCACACACAATCATTAAATTAAAAACACTATAGAAAGCAACCAAAATAAAATACGAAAAAGGGCTGCTCACTATCATTGTGCCAAAAGCACTTTGGTTTATTTACTCTGACACTATCACAGTGCATGGGCACTTGGAGATGTACTCAATGAATTCTTCATCCGACATTGTTGTACCGGCTGCTGTGAGGGAGTCAAAGAGTGATTTGGCGTGCATCAGATAGTTGGCAACGGGTTTGTCTGAGTTTCTTTTGAGAGTGCGGATTTGATCCCGCAAGGTACGAAGATAAGTCTTGGATAATGGAGAAAGCCTTCGCTCAAGTAGATCCCAGGCTTCGTGAGCCGTTGTGCATGGGATGAGAAGAGTTTTGATAGTTGAGGATGCAGTTGCTTTAATCCAACTCAGGACCAACTTGTCCTTTGAGTAGGCTGGATTTGGTGTTCCATCAGCGTGCTTCTTCGGAGGACGGGTATCATATGCGATGACATCTTCTAGATCATGAAGTTCTAGGACATCCATAAACTGAGATCTCCAAGAAAGGTAATTATTTTTGTCCATTGGTGTGGTGAAAAGATGAGAGATGTTGAATGAAGTTGGGATCGGAGGCATGTTGCCAGGAAAAGTTGTATTTGTGGTTGATTTGTCGTGATGAGAGTTAACAGAAGAAGATAAAGGAGTGTCTTCAGGGTTGGTCATAGGTTAGGATCGATTTGAGCGCTAGCTACTGCTAGGCTCTGATACCATGTAGAAAAGGAGGTTTGAGGTGAGAGAGAAGTAACAAGTAATTTATGATAGGCTAAAATAAAGGTCCATAAGTGGTATGTAAATAACAGCAAATCATGGTCATGACGCCTTGAATCATGGCTAGACAATGGCTGTCCTTCAGTGTTCTCTTCAGATCATACACTTATTAAGCGAAATTATTATCTTCATTGTGCATATGATGATAGGGAAGATACAATAAACATGTGAACTTTTTCTAGTCCACAATTCCAGCCTTCCGGTAGCTTTCAATGGAATCAATAAGAGTTTCATCCACAGGCCGGAAAGTCCAACCCAACCTCTGCAATTTTTCCGAACTCAAGTGCTCTTCCTCTGTGTGGGTAAGGCTGCTAATACCAATACAAGGGCAAGGCATCTCAGTAAACATCAACATGGATGGTTAAGGCGCACAAACTGAAAGATGAAGAAAAAGACCAACTAAACTAATTATTGGAGGGTAAGAAAAACTTACTTGTTGGGATAGTTGTAGTTAGGATATGCAGGCCTCAAGTACTTCTCCACCACCTCCTCTGCACCGATCTCGTGCGATGTGCATATGTATCTCTCTCCGGCCTCAGACTTGTTGTATACAAGAAGCAGTGCTTCTGCTAAATCACGAACATCCACGAAAGTCCAGTAATTGTATTCCAATGACTCAAGCCCACCTACACAGACTCTCAGACTTGCAATCTCAATTTATATATGCATATAAATTGATTTGAAACAAATATCATATGCTATAGCTAAGTAGATATAGATACCTTTTACAGTCGCAACTAGCAGAGAGCTACTTGTATTCAACGTGGATTGTAAAATTGGCCCCAAAACATTAGAAGGACAAACAGTTACAACCTCAAGTTCATTTCTTTTTCCAAACTCCAAAGCCTGGCTTTCTGCTTCTGTTTTTGAAAGATAGTACCATTTCTGGAACACAAAATTAATGGTCTGGCTTCAGCATAAAGTCAAAATGGAAAGTAAAGTCCTTCTTCCCCCAAATATAAGTCAAAATGGACAATTACCTTGGTCGTTTTCATATATTCAGGAACAGACCAACAGGTCTCGTCCTTGACTTGACCCTTAGGCCAGTCAGGGTTCATAACAATAGCAGCTATGGAGGACACAACAACAACTCTCTTCACTTTGGCTTCGACGCAAGCCTTAAGTACATTAAGCGTTCCCTTAAAAGCCGGTTCAAGAAGCTCCTGCACAACATTTATGTATATATTTATTTATTTCAAAACATATATATCCATCTGAGAGAACAAATTTTGAATTATTATCTCCGCTGATCTG